AATGTGTAAATTGAGTCATGGTGTTCATATTTCCATGTAAGTCTTGAAAAAGACAACATTATTCAAATAATTGCTTTCACAAAAAAAAAAAAAAATCATATGATAATGAATAATACCATTATTTTTTGAATGCTTTGCCATAAAATAGCTGTTTATTTGTGTCCTGGAACAGGATATGAAAGCTGCAGGACAACGGCTAGAGGCTGAACGGGACTGTAGCTGTCTCTATTGTTTATGCCTTATCTATCTGCCTCATTTCCTTCCCTGTTAGCACTCACTGTTTGTCTCCTTCTCATTTCCTGAATGCAAAGCCTCCATAAACAGTTTGGGTGTCTGGATAATTGTATCCAGATTCTGTGTGAGCGAATAGTTCCCTCATTGTGGCCTGCGCATATTTTGCACAGGTTAGAGGCCTTTAAAATATAAATTAGGAGCTGTTGGTGCAGTTTTTACAGCTGTATTTCTGACTTCATGTTTAAAACCGAAATGTTTAAACACCGGCAGCAGGCAAAGTATGTTACCTTCCATTGTTGTCAACAAAATAGCCAAAGGGTACACCTTTCTTTCCCTGGCCTCCAGTGTTTTTATTGTCCATTCACTGCCACTGGTTGCTAATTGGTTGGCTCTTTGGACAGCCAGGTGTGACCAGCCCAAAATGTGACTCCACATTCCTGCCTTTGGAGCCTCTGTAATTAGCTTCAACTCAAGCATTTCTCAGCACAGCAGCTTTTCTCCCGCTCCTTTTGTCTGCATGAGTCTGTCTCCCCCTCTCTCCCTCTGTCTCCTAACATGATCTTTAATCCCTGCCTACACCTGTGTTTTTTGACTGGGCTCCACTCATGCACCAAGGCAAATATCCCCCCCATCACCAAACATGGTAAATCCATATGTTGTTTTTGAAACAGAGATAGGACCATTGAGGAAGGCTGGGGGTCTTAAAAGTAAATACAGTGTTTCATCACTTATGTTTCTACAAATAAAAGCCAAGTAGCTCAACTGGAAGGCTATTATGGTGACTTTATGAGCTTTTATGTTAGATTTATGTTACTGTGCAGCCTCGATAACCATTGACAAGGAAAGGGCCTTAAAAGAGAGAAAAAAAATCAAATTGTTGGTCAGATTTTTTTTTACTCATATACCCACACAAACCCACAGTGATCCCAAATGACCCATCAGAGAGCGTGGCTCACCAGCAGTCCTCCCCAGCCAGCCATCAGCCTTATCAACAGACAGGGTCTTAGAGGGGATTGAAAAACAGGAAGAACTGACTGCACAGGGGATAGCTACTGGCACACTGTTTGTGTGCATGTGCATGCGTGTGTGCATGTGTGTGTGTGTGTGTGTGTGTGTGCAAGCACTTTTGTGGGTTCTGAAGTCCATCCATGTGTAATTTGGCACAGTTAGTATGATATCCAAAGTGAGATTTATATGTCTTGTAGTGTTTCACTTTGGCATTTAACCTGCTTTTAACTATAGAACCCTTGTAGAAAAATAACCTTATTTTTCTTTCGGTATAGGGCTTCACACAGCTCTCTTTTTCAGAGCCAGTAAACCAGGTACATACTCTGTGAAGAGAACGTATTTGGCTAGGTGAGTTACAACTACAGTGACGGAGAATGTTCACTGTAAATGGCACCCTTTGAGTATCTGAATAGGCTTTTGTGCACCTCTTAAATAATCTGGCCCACCAAAGGTAGCCCACCACCACAGGCCCCCACCACTCTCCTGTTTAACAGGTCTTAGTATGACCCACTAGTCAAGCTGCATGAATACAGACATGTGTTTGGCTGTTGGCCAGTAGTAGTTTGTCTGCAAATGGACTAGGTCCCGGGTGTCAGGGAGCAATGCTGAGGAATCTGTACTTGTGTGGATTATTTATAGCCATGCTGACATTTACACTGCTCTGGTGGGGAAAAAACTCAAGGCTACACTGTCCTTTGATTATGGTATTACCCGTCTTTTTCAAGACGGGGAAACGTCCCTCTTTTAATTCTTAATGTCCGTACCTGGTGATTTTCTCTAAATGTTGGTCTGCAAACCTTTAATTTTATGTAGGTCTGTGGAAATGCACTTTTAGGGGGTGACTCATTTTCCTGATATAGGCTCCACTTCTTTAAAGAGTAGTTTTGAAGTCAAGTTGTCCCACTCTTCATTTTCAAGCTCTGGCAGGTCCACTAGACTATGATATCCTTAAGTTACATTAGTGTTGTTGCATATTGCTTTGGCTTTAAAAAAGATGTAAACTGTTGTTTGATTAGTCGGTTCAGTCTCTCCTGGTGTTTGAATACTGCCTGTCTTCATAACAACAGGTGTAAATGCTCCTTTAATCATATCCCTGCACATTTTACTCTTTTGCTGCGTTGTTTTTTATTTTTTATCTTGAGTTTGCCTGCACAAATGAGTCAATGTGTGCATGTGCATGTGCCAGTGCCGGTTTTCAGGCGGGCAGAAGTGAGTTGAGTCTTGTCTAAACAAACAGTGGAATCCAACAGCTTCTGTCTGGATGGTGATGTGGAGATGATGTCATTGTTATTACTCTATTTGCTGTTAGAAGCCATGCTGATTATTATCTCAGCCGCACCTAAACTGCGAGTATATCAACAGCGGTTTGTTATTGCCATTTAAAGGCCACGATTAAACTTAATTTCTGGTAACAGGTTGTTTGAGATCCACTGGCTGCAGACAGAAATAATTTTGTAGTGACTTTTATTAAGTCTACTGGTATGAATAAATGAATAGTTTGAGGGTTAGATTAAAAGATCAATACTTCTGTCATGTCTGTACACCAAATATGAAGGTACTGTCAGCAGATGGTTAGCTTAGCTTAGCATGAAGACTAGAAAAGTGTGGGGCAACAACTGACCTGGCTCTGTACAAAGGTAGAAAAATCCACCCACCAGAGCCTCCAAATCCCAGCAATGAACATGTTATCTCTCATTTGTTTAATTGAATAGTAAAAATTAACATTGGTGGTTTTTCTGGGGCTTATACCCTGGACAATTTTTGTACCGAGAGCAGGATTCCAAGAAGTTACTGCACCTGCCCAAGAAAGAGAGAGGTACAAGCCTCCGTAAAACCACAAACTGTCACTTTAAGCTAAGCTAATTGAATGCTGGCTGTAGCTTCATATTTAGCATACAAGCATAAGAGTAGTGTTGATTTTCTCATCTAACTTTCTGCAGGGAAGCAAATAAGTACATCTCCCCCCAAAAAAACAATTCCTTAAGCTTTTCAGAGTTACATCAGAAAAGTGTTGCCACAGTGAGCACTGGTGCCCTCCCCTTGCCCTTTTGGCCAAAATTCAAATACAGGGCAGTAGAGTTAGACAATCATTTATCCGGACACATAATGACACAAGAGGAGGAGGAGATCTCAGTGTCCGCACTTTAGCATTAAGTAAGTTCCAAAGAAGCAGAGTTGGTGGAACTATCCCCTGCTTCTCTGTAATTACCCAGAGGGCCCTGGGGCAAATCCATGTGGCTGACACGAATGCCTTCCCCCTTCTCTCTCTCTCCCTGCCTACTCACACGTACACACACAGTGTCCCAGTGTAGCGCCATGTGTCTGCAATATGGGAGGTCTTTGAGTCGTGGCCTCTGCGTCTCCCTACACTTGAGGGGAAATGGCACTCTTGCCCGTCTCTCCGTCTGGATTGTACTCTGTCCTCTTTACATCTCATTCTGTTCACTGTGATATATTCATGCCTCTTCTAGTCTTGACATTCCCTTTAATCATTCAAACTTTGTTCTTTCTGTAACAAAAAAAAAAAAAGGACTGGGTCATCATCACAATATAGGAACATTTGTGGTATTTAATTTCGACTTTCTGTGTTTCTACAATCCTCAAGTCCGTGTACTGAGCAGCTCACAGAGACGTGTGAGGTGAAAAATCTGAGGTTAATATCACAGAGAGCCTGTGAATCAATATTTGCTCAGTAATTTGCTTTCCAAAGGTCAAATAGTATCGCATGATTGTCTTGTGTAATACCAATGCTTGTATTGTGTGCCTGCCAGAAACCCTTTTCACAGACAAAAGTGGTTCTTATGAAACCAGTGATCATGCAAAGTAGTCTACAAAGCACAAACACTTCTGAGGCAGGTTGCATTGCTTTCTTTCCAGTGTGTATACTTTTGCATACAGGAAGTGGGACCAAAGAGCTTAAGGAGGTCTCACTGGGGTTATCACTGGGCTGTTTATCTGTCCCAGAGTCCCTCCTGCTCAGGGAGTGAAAGCCTTCAAACTGCTACTCCTTTTTAGCCTGTTTGCTTCAGAGGGGTGTGTGAAAAGCGGAGGAGGGGTGTTTGGGACAGTGTGTCTGTCTTGAAGCTGAAGCCAAGGAGGGGTGGGGGTGGGGGGTGTCTGATGAATAGGAGGACAGGTCTGCTGCTCTGCACTCCCCACTTCTGGAGCTTCCCATCATGCTTTGCATGCCCTCTCACAGAACTCTTTATGGCCTTGGGTTTGGCGCCAGATCTCTCACACACTTGCCAACATCAACAAGTTTTTTTTTTTTTTTTTTGTGAATTCTCCACTATTACCATTTTCTTACTTCTACAGTTCCACATAAAACAGCCTGGTAATTTTTTTGGCATTTGAGAATCTCTGATAAGTTTGTCAAGAAACAGGCCTAGAATCCTTAATTTGACAGCAAAAATAACCAGAGCATGACCGGAGCAACATTGCACAGGCTTACAGACAATAAAATGTATCAACAAACTGTCAGATGAGACTCTATGGATGTAGTGAACATAAACCCCTCTTTACTTTTGGCAGACAGTTGTTTGAACATCTTTGAACTCCACATATTGAATTACTTTGAGTGTCTGGAAAAGTGCTACATTAAGTACCAAAATGGAAAGAGTATTTGTTCTACTCTGTATGAGCCTGCACATATAAACATTAAGTTATTATAACCTCGCCTCATGCACCACATCAATGCCTTCTGGGAATCGTCTGTTTATCCGTTCAGCCAGTCATCTCTCATCCCTTGTGTCTTGCAGGATGTGAAGATATTTCGAGCGCTGATCCTGGGCGAGCTGGAAAGAGGGCAGAACCAGTACCAGGCCCTGTGTTTCATCTCTCGCCTCAACCGCAATGAGATCATCCCCAGTGAGTCTATGGCCCGTCTCAGACAGGTATGACATGGAAGCTGTTTTATTGTTATGAACGTCTTCAGCTCAGAAAAATGAATGAATGAATTACATTGCTCAGAGCATCTGAGGGTTTTAACACTGATTATTTGTACTGTCTGCTCAGAAAAATCCTCAGGCCATTCGCTTGGCAGAGGAGCGGAGGGGACTGGAACAGCTGACGATGAGCGTGGCCGTCAACTTAAGTCGGGCCTTGCAACTCAGCTCCCACATCCACAACATGTGCAGCGAGGCCCGAGAGGCCATTTACACCAGGGAGTCAGACGTCAAACACTGGCTGGACAAAGGTCAGTTCTCATCTGATCTTGGTTTATTATTAAAACTAGCCTACGGTGTGTTTGAGCAAAATATCTGTCTGTTCTCCGTTCTCTTTTTCTTCTCTCCCATCCCTCCTGATCGTCTCTATACTCTGTGCTCTGTATTATCTCTTTGTACTGACTCTTTATCTCCCCAACACTCTCTGTCTTCCCCGTTTCTATCACCTAAACACTTCTTTCCACTTCATTTTAGTGATATGACTCCATGTATTATCGCTTTTTGGTGATAAGGCTCTATTACTGTTCATGCAATCTAAGTATACTATGTTCTGTTTTTGTCTTTACATTACTTATAAATGTTCCACTTTTACTTTGAAAAAATTGAAGGTCGTAGCAAACTGTTTTCTCTGAACAGTCTGTGAGATACTGTACTATCCTCACACTTTCCTAGATTGAAAACATGTCATTAAAAACTTATTTAACTATTTGTTTTTTGTTTTTTTAAAAAAAGGTCCTTTACAGTGGGATCCAGTATCTCTATAGCAATGAAGTCCAAATTGTCCAGGCTGAGGAGAATCCATATGACAGCAGTATTGTCCACTGACAGCACTGTTAGACAGGAAACAATGTTGATCGTCATGGTTCACCAAGCACTCTTTTGCATTAAACAAGCTCTGCACCGTTATCTGCAGAAGCAATCACAGTAGCATCTCCTTTGCATAACAAAGCTCCCGTTTTACTGCACCATCTCCCCTCTTTTTGGCCACTTCGATCGTGCCCTCCAGTTCAATATGGAATTTAATTGAGTGGATTAGGATGATTCACACAACTGTATGATAGCATGCTTTTGTTTTTAATACCACAGGCTTTGATAATGACGCCCCTCTCCTGCTTGTGTTGTAGGAGTGGATGGCTCCATCTTCGAGGGCCTGCCACAAACAACAGAGGTGCCCAGCTTTCAGGCCTGTCACTCTACTAAAGACTTGTGGCAGCCCTGTCTCTGCACATACAGCCTGCGTCTGGAGTGGTACCCGTGTCTGCTAAAGTATTGCCGCAGCAGGGACACCACAGGCAAAGGCTCTACCTACAAGTGTGGGATAAAGAGCTGCAGCAAGGGCTACCATTTCACCTACTATGTTCCCCAAAAACAGCTCTGTCTATGGAATGAGGAGACCTAGCATTTTGTTCTGGATGGTTAGGAATAGAGTAATGCATTTTTTCCCCAGCCAAGCCAATGCTTCTCCACCGAAGCTATTCAAAGTAAACACAGTAACACTGGACCTCAGTTTATATGATGATGAGTGAAGCTGTCTCAGGTGGGGAGTGGTGAGTTCCAGATGTTCAAGCTGAAACAGAAACGAATTCAGGTTCCAAATGAGACCAAAACCTTTAAGGAAGGAGAGATGCAGCAATAAGAAGACCCACTAACTTAATGCCTTTTCTGGGAAAATGACATATCATTGTCATCTATAATGTGACTTTGCCAAGAAACTGTCACTTTTGTGCCTTTTTTTGGGAGAAATTATTGGAGCAGATGATAGAGACCAACAACAATAACCTCTCAAACAAGCTACGGTATGCACAAAGCTGGACAGTGCATTTCTGCTCAATTAAACACCAGCAGAGGAAAAACAGAGTCCCACTCTGATCAGAGGAGTCATACAAACACAATCTTCCATCCTGGTGAAGGAAAATTTGGATGGTGGATTTATCTTGCTTCTAAAGGTCTGTGAAAAACAATTTATTGCCAGCTAAACACCTGTTTATAACAATGTAAGCTGGCTGACAAAGAAAATGCTTCTCCAATGCTGGCTTTATTTATTCTAGTTGCAAAATGAAATTATGGTGGACTATTTTTGTATAATTTTGTTTAAAAAAAAATAACCTCATCAAGTTTCTCTCCTTTTTGAATTAAACAGGCTCTTAAATTTACATGTCTGAACCACAGGTCCTCGGTAACAAGAAGTATTCAAACAAATTTCAGAACATTTTTTTAACCTCTTGGATTTTGGACGCTGCTTCTTGTCTCATCCATACTTTATGCTACGTTGCTGCCAAGTTTTCATGGTTGTACACCCTTTGTGGATAAACAGGTTTATTATAATATTTAATAGGACAGTTTTAGTTATACTTCACCCCATCATGCCCATCACTCACTTTTTCAGTCTGTTTTTAAAAGTGTCAATTAAACCAAAGTCAAAAGAGGGGTGTAAAGTTTCATTTGTCTAGAAACAGGCCCTTCAGTATGGTGTGTTTCCATGTTAGGATTTACTAAAACTGCAGTGTAGCCTGTTAATAATCTATACTGCCATCTTGTGGTTATACAGTGTTTCTGTTTCTTGTGTTTTCTATTTTATCCCAATGCCAGAATTCTGTTTCTGTTTTGTCTGTTAATGTCAACAGTTACATGTTTATAATTTATGCATCTCAAATCCCTGATCATTTACAGGAATAATTTAAGGAGCACTTCTTGAACTTGTTGGACCAAATTTCATTTTTTTTTCTGTCTGTTCCTTAGAGCAATAGGTTGAAGTATGAATTTGGTCTGCCTTACCTCCATCTTCATTTCAGACTTTACTGCCATATCAAAAGTTCATTTTGTGTTTTGTGTGTTGGTATGTCCTGCTAACTAAAGAACCAAATGAGTGAAACATTTCTATTTGTGGCCTTTTCTGGTGATCAAGTGCCTTAACATTTCCACTGATATCTTTTCTATGTAATTGTAGACTAAGTCATATTTTTTCTATGAAAGAGTTGTTAATATGCTGTAAGTTGCCATAAGGAGAAAATGAAGCAATTAGGTAATGAACCATTAAGAGTTGTTTTACATGATTTGTTTCAATAAAGTCTTTCTTTGCACTGCATATACAATTATAGCCTAAGTATTTATTTACTTTGGGGACAACAGTGCACAATAGAGATATAGAATGGACGGGCTGGGGGGGGGGGGGGGGGGTCTGCAAACGTTGCAACTACATATTCAGCATCTTAAACTCCTTGGTTACCAGGTTCCTCTCTAATATTAACCTAATGCTTGCTCATGTGGAAAATAACTGTTTATTGACCCACTCTCACGCTTTGGCAGGGCTTGCAACCACGGTTCAAAACCAGGTCATGCAGATCAGATGTTCTCTGCAACGATAAAACCTCTGTGCAGCCCCATTTGAAACATGTTAGAGCATTATTGGTGTTTTTACTACTACGTAGCTCTTCCATTTTGTCCCCCTGCTGGAGGGAAATGTTCGTGTGTAGTTCCTGCTATTGGCCACAAGGTGTCGCCACTGTCAACAAAAGACGAGACAACCTCCCATCATTTAAGGGTGGAAGACCCCAAGGAAGATGAAGAAACATGGTTTTTCAGTTAAATATTAAACAAACCAGCTATAACTTCTTAACTACGGTGTAGTACGGGATGATAGAACCAGGTCACAGTTCTCGTGAGAACAGTTGCTACATTTGCATGTACAGCGACTGATAAGGAGGTAGGGAAATTCAGGGATGCTGGGATAGGCTGCTGTTGCCACCGGTGGAGCTCAGATAAACGACAACAAACAGCAGCTAGTGTGCCTGCAAACAAACCTTGGACAGTTTTCTCCAAAAACACACCTTCACCGGACACTAAACACCCAGGATGTGAGCGAAGAAGCTGCCACATGTGCACCTTCAAGGTAAAGATATTTTTACTGCGTTTGTGAACACGTTACAGATCCATAGGAAAGCGCTTTGTTAGCCATTTGACGTTAGCCTGCTATCTGATCCAGCTAACTGAGTAGTAGTGCATCCTGTTAAACGAATAAGCTGTAGCTCTGCTGCCACTTCCAGTTCACAAACATCAGCTACCCTCGATGTTACCATGTATAAACTATTTTAGCAACGGAACAAAACCATTAACATTAATCCAGTTAGTTGCCAGCTGCTTTCCTTTTTATAGGTTTCCATGGGAACGCAATTAAAGCCTCATAGATATACTTTCGGTTTGTGCAACTTAAAAACCTAAAAACTACTTCCACTTTTCCAATTCAAAAATCGTTCAACTGTTCAAGTTTCATCTGTGTATGTATATATAACTTTATTTAAACAAGAAAGGTTAAAAAATCTTTTAACAGGAGTGTCCTGTCCAATATAGCAGCATCACCTAGAACACAGAGGTTAAAAAAACATAATGAATAATAATAATGAATTATACAAAATCTGTAATCAAACTGTTGTATCTCTTTTGTATGCTAACCAAATAAAATAGTTTCAGGAATGTATCCAAACTGAGCTGTCTGATATATGAGTTTTTGTGTGTATAACATTTCTTTGTGGTATCTTATTTATAGTTTGTTTTATTTAATTTTATATTTTGTCTGTGCATGTTCATGTCTGATTGGATCCAAGTCTTTTTCTTTTGGGTTTCCTCTTCCTCTTTTATGAGTGTTTGGGCAAGTGTTTTACCTATTTGTAGGTGTCAAGCAATGTACCCAAAATGAGTTTTCCTACTACATACTGTATAATATCACGGCTTCACCTCCCAATGCCATCCTGACATCCATATATCCATAGAACTGTTAATTGAGCTGCATATAACAACCAAGACAAAAACAAAACATTTACAGACTGAGTTATTTAGTTTTCAAAGGGCACATGTCATATGACAACAAGCCTCTGTCTCCCATGGTAGCTGTCTGAGGCCCAGCACCCAGTAACCTCTCATCTAGTTTTGAAACTTGCTTGAAGTCTTTGAGAATCAAGTGTACATCTTGTTCTAGTCCTGTTAGGGTGGGACTGTCCATCTGCATGGTCTCACCTCCTAGTACAAACGTCACAGCAGAAGAAGAGACGTCCCCCTCACCCCACCAGACCCTCAGCCAGCCAACTATAGTGCTATTATAGTTCAAGCAAAGGCTAATTGTTGGTCTCTTACAAAGGATTGCACAGTCCAAGTCTTGGGACGGTAATGCTGTCTCTTTCTACTGTAAACGATATGACAGAGCAAGATGTGCCTCCATGCATTTTTCTCTCACCGTGAAATGTGATTCAAAGTTGGCTTGATGACTGCTGACTGGCAGCTTTTTGAAAGAAACTGTAAGTTAGTTTTAGCTGCTTTTTCTTGTTTGTTTTTTCCTCAGAAGAGAAGATGGTACTGCTTGTGGTTTGTTCACTCCTGTGCCTGTCCTGTTGGGTCTCTTTCTACTTTATCTTGTGTAATGTTAACGGGTCCAGGAGCTACGAGTGGAACTGTCGCCTTGTCACCCTGGTACATGGCATCTTGGCAGTCTGCATCACAGCATATATAGGCTATGTGGATGGACCCTGGCCTTTCGCTTATCCAGGTAAGACACTTGCCTTCTGTGGATTCAAATTATGAAATAATAACATTTTATGGTTTAATTATTGTGAAATAATTATGTTAATTCGTACTGTAAAGACTAATCACAAATGGTGAGGGCTGTCGTAATGATATAGATATAGGGTATAACTGCTTAGCATGCTGTGAAAAACTGCTGTTAATGTATACATTGATAGAAACTAGCAATTGGGACAAGTGTGAATGAACCATTCAATAATGACCAAAAGATTTGTTTTATTACAGTGATTGTCCTGTAAAAATATGCTAGCTAAAACCTGTCTGTTTCTGTTTTGTGGATACCAGGTACTAAGAACACCCCTCTGCAGATAAGTGCCATGGTGGTCAGCCTGGGCTACTTTATTTTTGATATGGCCTGGTGTGTGTACTTCCGCACAGAGGGACCAGTTATGCTGGCCCACCACACCATGAGCATCCTGGGAATCCTGTTGACCCTGTGGTTGGGGGAGTCTGGCATCGAGGGCTGCGCGGTACTCTTTGGCAGTGAAATCACCAACCCACTCCTGCAGGCACGCTGGTTCCTCAAACAGACGGGACATTACAGGTCGCTGCTGGGGGATGTTGTGGACGTCCTGTTTGTGCTGCTGTTTGTGGTGATGCGAATCTTCGTGGGAGGCACAATGCTGTACTGTGAGCTGATCTCCCCAAGACCCAGATTCTTTATCAAGTGTGGGGGTGTGGCCATGTATGCTCTATCCTGGGTGTTCATGGTGGATATTGTTCGATTTGCCAAACGAAAAAGCAAGAGCTGGCACAAACAGCAGAGAGACCAACTAGAGACAGTTGCAGCTAATGGTCATGAAGGGAAGAAGGACTGATCTGCTTCTGGTTCTTTAAATGAAATCAGTTTACATTATGTTTTTGGACACACAAGGGAAAGGAAAAAGAAAATCAACTTTTTGTATGTTAAACTAAGATTAACAAAGGGATATTTTAAAGTCATAACTTTCTATGGTGAGAAATTTCCTGTGACATCTGTCTGTAAGGTCCAACACCTGTGCGTTTTGCAAAAAAAAACTCATTTTTAATGCATTCATTGCTGCTGAACACATGTTAGTTTATTATGTAAAAGGTACTGGTGCAGAAACATCACAGACATAGTTCATGTTATTGAAAACTAAAGCACTTTCTATAAACACATGAACAGATGTTGCATTCAGTTGGAGTGAACTGTTGCTTAGTCATATCTGGTAGTGGGAAGTTCGTTATTAGGAAAGAAATAGTTTACATGTAATGGCCATAATCCTTGTCAAACACTTATTGAAATTTTAGGACTAGTTTCCTTGGAATCGTGTTTTGTTTTTTTTGTTTTTGTTTTTTTGCTTTTTTTGGCATTTTTATAAGTTTGAGCAGATGTGAAAGGTGTACTCAGGGAGATGAAGTCATACTGGAAAGTTGGGGTAAATTCCAGAGAAATGTGTGTGATGTGTTTGATTACTTTGTTTTATATAGTTCATAGTAATTCCTTTAAGTATTTGCCTGAAATCCTATTCCAGATCACAGCCAAAAATTTTCATTTATTTTACTTCCCTCATGTACAAGGATACATGAAGAGACACCTCTCAATTACATAGTTCTACACTGGTAATGCTCTTTACTTAGCATTCCATTTGGATATATATGTAAACTATAAATATATTCAAATGTTTGGTAAAATGGTATCAGAATTTGTACTTTATAAAGTTGAAGTGTCTGATTTCACCATCTGTGTGAACATGCATTACTGTAATCTTTTAGACAAACGTCGGACATAAGATTTGCTCTGTGTACTGATAGTCCCCATTGATTTAATTCAATACAGTAATGTTTCAGTCTCACAGAGCTGAGACTTGACAATTCAGTTAAGTTTATTATGAGCTATCTGCACAGTATGTTCATCTTTGTCTGACTTCTGCTTCAGTTATGTTATTTTGAGCCAGCACCTGTAAACTTTTTGGAGATATACATGGTTCTCATACCTGTGCAGTCTTGTACACAGGAGCATCATTTTGTTTCTAGCAACCTAAAATAATAGATTTCTACATTTAGTCCTTACACATTATATTATTGCACATGCCCTAGTAGGGCTGGGTAATAGTTATCATTTAACGACTTTCAGTAAAGTCACATTGAGATTATATAATCATATCAGGTTGTCGTTTTTCGGAATTCTTTTGTCCAATTTAATAATTATAAACATACTAGCATACAGGAATAGTTCAGTATGTTTCATGTTTTAATTTACATGTGTGAAGAATGTCAGAGTGAACTGTTCTAGTATTTTATGTGTGATTTTGCATACATTTGCCATATTGTGATATTAATTATTGGGAAAATATTAACCTTAATGTTGTGACATTGATTTCCACCATATTGATCAGACACAACACAAAAGTGCGTCATGGGACAAAGACAGGTGACTTGTTATGAGAGAATATTATGACATAGCCTACTCCAAGACATGTTCCATGCCAAGAAAGTTACCGAGCTACCAGCTGCTATCTTTGTGCTCAGACTTCAAATCTGTTTTCTTATTACTGTGACCATATCTTGTTTATTTTAGTGCACATGGATTTCTGCAGTAATGTGCTAAATCACCGGTCATCCCTTTGTTTTCCCATTTACGTTGGATTGAAATTTGATGTGTTGCTCTTATACAAGGCCTGTTTACCTGGCTGCTACTGAAATCATGTGAGCGTTACCATTACATCCAAGAAAGTAAAAATCTTACTGGTGTGTGCCTTAGTTATCTGAATGTACTTTCCTAATTTTTTTGTTGTTTCAGTTTTGGGTTTCCTGACTTGCCTTTGTAATAATTGTAATCCCTGTGTAAAATGAAATAAATCTCTGGTATATTGTTTGTATGTTTCTGAATACATTTTAACCAACAAAATTCCAGCTAAAACTGAAGGGGCTGCATTTGCATTATATGTACTGACACTGAAGTTACCTAAGCTGTCCACATGATGGTGTCATATCAATTATAGATGAATGATCAGTGAGGAAACATGAGGACAGTCATTTGGCAATGCTAAAAGAAAGAACATTTTCTCAGTATTGTCTTTTAAAAGTAATGACACATTATACTTTTAGTTAACTAAAACTGGCCAGTTTTACTTTTTGTTGTCCTTTTTAGCATTAGTTCTAGCATTAGTTTTATGTTTTCAAGCATTGCGGCACACAAAGTTTAATATGGTGTACTGTCTATAATACACAGTGTATTGTATATACTATCAAATTGAAAAGTATGTTGTCAGCTGGCTGAAATGTAAATGATGAAGTCGGACTGCAATGCATAATACAGTAAAGAGATGATCATATACAATACACTACTTTATACGTGTGGTGTGCTAAATAGGTGACAGGAAACACACAAACACAAAATGGATCAATAGAAAGTAGGGAGGAATAATTGCACACAATTCACTCATGTACACAAACCCTAGCTATTTACAAGTAAATAAGACCTATTGAACACCTGTCATATCATAAACTATAACTTAGTTGTGATCTTAAGTACAGTTTGGTTGAATTACAAAAACAAATGTAGATCTTTGCCATGGAATCTTGTCTACTCTGACTCTGCAGAAGTTTGATGCTGGTTTTTGTAAATTTCACAAATTCTTGATATGTGAAAACCTACTTGGTAATAACCTGATTCTGATTTTCAAACTAAATAAACACTAAGACCTGAATGAAAGTCTCCAGATAGACTTAAGTATCTTTGGCATTTTCACTGTGTCCTCTCTGCCACACACACATAACACTGCTAGAGTGTGTTTTCCCTCTGTTCCTCTATGTCTTTCTAGCTTTCATTGAAGATGAGTTAAGAAAGTTTCATTAAAGTAGGAGTGTCTTCTTGTGAATTGTGGACAAAGACTGGCCTGTAAGCTTTAAATAATGAACATAATGATTGTTCACCCAGTCCAAAACCCACCACAGACAGACAGAGAGCTACAAAAACCACAAAATAATCACACAACAACTCATAATTATCAAGTTAATCAACCTCCTAAAGGAAAGTGCCTACTCACTGGAAATATCTTTGCATGCCATGGAAAAGCAAACAATCATGCAACATCTATCTAAAGAACAAGGATTGTAACTAATGATTATTTTCATTATCAATTAGTCTATTGATTAAACAGTCAGGTTAATTATTCAGTCAATAAAACTGTGAAAAATGCATGTCACCAATTGGTTGTTTTGTTTGACCACCAGTTTAAAACCCAAAGACAGTGATGTAACAAAGAGAAAACCAGTGAATCTACACATTCAAGAAGCTGGAAAAAATAATGTTTGGCCTCTTTGCTTTGTAGCTGACTTAAATGTTTAATCGATTGTCAAAACTGTTGATTTATTTTATGTTTTGATCGACTAATCTATTGATTCTAATAATAGATATAACTTCTCTATCTTTGTCTTGCATCTCTTTCTCAGAGAAATCGTGTCTATATTTGATAGTCGAATAATCAGTTAGTCGACTGATTAATTCACTAATGGTCTAATATTAACTATGCATATTAGTGCTGCCACTAACATTTATTGTCGTTATCGATCATCATTAATCTTCCAATTACTTTCTCAATTCAAATGTCAATAAGTTTTTTTTTTGTTTGTTTTGTTTTGTCATTTTGCTCTTTAAAGATGCGTTAATTACTTGACTGTTAAAATGTTGCCAATTTTCTCATTAATGGACTACTCGTTGCGAGTCTAGGCTGATATTTTAGTATCTAACTCTTTACTCATAGCCTAATATATATAGTTATTTAATGTAGGAATAAATTATATTCTATTAAGACGAATATGTCAACACGATAACTAGCAGCAGTGGCATTATTGTTATTGTTGTTAACATGTTATTATTTTGGTGTTAGTTCTTATGTTATACTGAAACAAAATGAGTTTTCCCATCTCCCGGCGGAAGTGGTTAGTGGAAGCGCTATTGGACCCCAACAGCTAGCTGGCTAGGGCGTTGCTAGCGGCAGAAAGTGGGATTTTTGGTACCTTTCCGCAAGTTATATTCTTGTACAAATAACGTCTTGCGTTGGAAAAAACAGCTTTTGATGTTCGCTAGAAGTTTAAAGCGACTCGGCGTTTTTTCTTGTCGTTGTTTACAGAGGACTGGTTGTTACTTTCTGTCCCGTTAGCTGGCCACATAGCTAGCCTGCTTTCCATCCACGGGAATTCTGCCGAGAAACGACTGAATTCTGGAAACATGGAGTCAAGGAACGCTGCGCTGTGCTAACTGACTTCACTGGATTTTCTTAGCTCAAGGAGACTTTTTTGAAGGACATAACACGGAGACATATCGCAAGCCAGTCAACATTCATGCGGTGTTGTATATATATTTTTCGGTCGTTGGCCGGCTCATTGTTGTGAACGGGAGTTTGCTTAGTTTGCACTCGAAACAAGAGCACACGAAGCAAAGTTTTTTGCTGAAAGAGCTCATCTGTTTTGTTAGCTGGTAGCTGGTGAGATTCAACGCCAGCCAGCTCACTGTGAGAAAGGATTTTCTAAAAACCAATGTGCTTTTTTTAATCGACCATCTAACCAATTTTGTTTCTGAATCTAACGTCTTGCGCCGGTATAACATTAGCTGCCGTTGTTTTGCTAATTTGTAACACGGGTCGTTTAAACTCGGTGTTGAGTGAGTCTCATGGTCACGGGAGACTCGTCCCCACAGCCACAGACAGGCATTTCTGGGAGCAGGGAATACCAAATGGGACTGGAGGAATTTCCAGCATCTTCAAAGATCATTTAGGCACGGAGGCCATTCAGCCGAGCTGGGGTGGTGGCAGACGGACTACATCGCAGGGCCAAGGTGTCTGTTACATTGGAATACAGATTGTTTACACGTTTCATATCTGGGATGTGAATGCAAAGGATTCATACGGGGAGTTCATACATGTACGACAACTTGTGCCATCTGGAGCAGTATATTTATTCTTGTTGCCAAATTATTGTTTATTGACCGGCTAGGATATCATCTGACTGTACAGCTAATACGACAGAGGCCCCGATTAATTTTTAAGGTCTGTACTGTGGACTCCTTGCTACAATTCAGTTACTATTCAAGGAGTATTGATTGCCAGATAACGTATAGGTAATATTTTTGTTTCCTCTAGTGTTTGGACGTGCCTTGCAACAACCCAGCAGTTTCCTCATATTAATTTATTCTAAGCACCATTTTCAAACTCCTTGCCTACTTCAGACGAATGCCAGAGAAGGACGCTCCAGGAAATCGCCTCATCACACTCTGGAAAATGTTAATCGGATATAATTTGTTGCAAATCTAGAACCGGAAGCCCAATGAGTGACACACAGTCCAGCTTCACTGACAGGTATGGTATACAACGACCCTTTATATTCTAGTAATGCACTGTCTGCACTGCACATTCACAAAGTATACCCTCAGAGTATCCAAACAGAAGATTTTGTTAAAGTTTCTTGATTTAGTTATGATGCTGTTGATCTGAAACACGACCCACAATCTGATTTAAAAAAAAAAAAAAAAATACACGGTTCAAGTAATGCTTTTCTTTGTGGTGATGTGCTCAGTAATAACTGTGTTGTACAATCTAATTACTGAGGGAAGGACATCAGATCTTAATGGAAACTTTGCTGATCTCAGCATGGGTAATGGAGTTCTCTGCAGACAGTAAAGTACTACTTGTTCAAGGAGTGAGAAGGCCTCCCACTGTCTGTGTGCCAGTGATCCCTGTACACCTTTCAACATCACTATTACCTATAAGCCTTTAAAGCTGACCTTCTCCTACACCTATTAAAACAATCTCTGGATTTAAACAAAACCTTAGCTCCGTCAAGTAATCACCTTATCTAAGGCATCTGTCAACTTAAACCCAAAGATTGGACATTGTTGCTAAGACCAGCAGGCTAAATAATGTGTCATGGCCCGAAGAGCACACTAAATGGCAGAGAGGGATCAGTCTGTAGCATCTTAATCCACTGACATATACTCTACGTCAGTGTTCCTGAGTTAGTCCAGGAACAAATTTCCCTTTGTTTTTGTGTCTGTAGAATAAAGAAGTTTTTATTCTCAATCTGATGTATTCTGGAAGTGAAACAGGGAAATGAAGCTGTTGAATTACGTCAATTCTTCCTACCTGAATCCCACATACCTGCGAGAACTGCAGGTTAATACAGTGGAATGTGGTCGGTAGATTCAGACCGGAATGAATCTTATAGCACAGGTTGGGATATGAAATATCCTCATGGCTAGAGCCAGAGGCTAAAGCCCAACCCCATTTTACATGACCTCCCTCCCCCACTGCAACGATGGCAACATTGGCTGGCACTAACTACTATTGTGGAGCTGTTTATGGTTTTGTTTCTTAAACTGGTCTAGATATCATGATGTCTCTACTTGCTTTTATTAGTTGAATTAACAAATCAGTACTTTTCAGTCTCTTCTGTAACATGTAATGAAATTTAAACTGCAGGTAAGCACAGAGATACTCATGATGACTAGAAGCACTTTATCTTAGGTTGCTATTGCTATTAGTGCAGTGTGTCTCCGATTTGCTGCTGCATGTGGAGGCTTGTGACAGAGCTACATAAATGTATTTTCTATTCATATTCCCTTTTGTCAAAAAAATGTGGGTTGATGTTTTTATAGTGAGTTTGTTCATCTGTTTATTTTGGTTTCACATGCTCTGTCTCCTAAAAGTCACGTTCGTTACTCTACCAGTTGAGCTTGATTCACGCCATGTTCATGCAAAACAGTTTGACAACAGCCTGTAGACTGTGCAAGCAAAGAGCCCTGTATCTCTGTTCCACAGACATTAGAGTTGGCCTGTGATGTGAATCATTATTTAGGATGCAGC